CCCCCTCGCGCGTCCCCCCCCCCCCCCCCCCCGGGAAGCTGTTCATACATAAAAATGGTTTCTCTGTGAAGATTAAAAAAACAAAGTGCATTTAGAAGCAAATATAGTATCTCCCTGGGGGTACCGCTCAGTGTTACCCCTCAATGGCCTCAGGGGACCTGGCTCAACTGCTGATGCTTCTGCCCCCCTGTGCTCTGATCCTTCAGTCAGACCCTGCTCCGTAAGTGACTCGTGTAGCACTCGGGAGGTGCAAAATGGTTTCTCTGTGAAGATTAAAAAAACAAAGTGCATTTAGAAGCAAATATAGTATCTCCCTGGGGGTACCGCTCAGTGTTACCCCTCAATGGCCTCAGGGGACCTGGCTCAACTGCTGATGCTTCTGCCCCCCTGTGCTCTGATCCTTCAGTCAGACCCTGCTCCGTAAGTGACTCGTGTAGCACTCGGGAGGTGCACCACACCCCTGTGGCCTGCCAAAATCTTGATGGCAAATGGGGTGCCCCAACATGCTTCCTCCCTGTTCCTCAGGGTGGCCCTTCCTGCACCCCCACTCCTCATAGGCACCAGTCACTATGCCATTCTCCCTGTTACCATAGTAGCAACTGTGTAGTGCCCCCTGGTGGAGAGGAGACCGAGAGCAGCACATGCAGGCAACGACCACCTAGGCGAGGTTCTTGTGTATTCCCTGGAGATCTGAGAGCTTGATTTTGGGGTATGATGCTGTTCTTTAAATCCAAAATCCCCAGCTTCCCATGGGAAGAAGAGCTCTGTGCTGTCACTGCAGACTATGGGGTTCCCTTTCCCACTGTGTGCTCTGTCAGTCTATCCCCCAGGTTGGACTACACAATGTCTGCTGTTGCTCCGGTAACAGGCAGCGCTATGATGGCAGAGGGACGCTGCGTAATGGGAATAGGGGCAGCAGGCCTGGCAGGAAACGGAGATCCCTGCTAAGCGACTCTCAGCAGAGGAGGAGGAGGAGGAGGAGGAGGAAAGTGAGGAAGGGCTGTTTGACTAGGGAGCCACAAGGGCGGGGCTTTACAGGAAAGCTAATACAACCTCTGGCTGGACTAACTTTCCAGTCTGTCGCACCTTGTATTGATTTCTGTGACGCTGAGCTCCCTTCCCACTGCCGTAGAAGAGCTCAGTGTCGCTTGGAAGCTTGTCTTTCTCTCCAACAGAAATTGGTCCAGTAAAAGATATTATTTTAGCTTCTTTCTCATTAGCCCACTTGTCCCCTCCTCCATAAAGTGCTTTGTTTAATTACAATTACCTTTAAGGGTAATATTTAAAACAGATATTTTGCAGCTCTGCAGAGAACCCCTTCATGGTCTGCGAAAAGGAGGAGAGAAGGAAACCTTGCCAAGCAGGCAGCCGGTTTCCCCTTAAACTCTTTTTGTTTGCAGGGGAGAGCCACTTGCAAAGGGGAGGATCTGTTTGTGGATTGAGCTGTATGAGCACAATCTGTCCCACAGCATGGAGAGGGCCTTTATTTCCATCCTCTTCTTTTGTAACAAGAGTTAAAAATTAAATGACTGAATTATTGATTATTTTTTTAAATTTTAGGTACATATGTAATACAAGGTGAAAGAGAATGCACCTCACTCAGCATCACTAGCTAACTTCATAGGCAAAAGCCTGCGCAGATTGAAAAGAATGTCAAAACTCCCATTAACATAAACGGCTTCAGAAGTTCACCCAGTATCTTTGCAGAGTCCCAAATCACGACCCATTTAAAGGATGATGTGTTGGTTCCATTATAGTAAAACACCCCAATCATCCTAATAAGCAATTAAATTTTAATGCTGCGATGCTAAATCATGATGCCACTAATGTGCACTGTATCATAGTCTACAGGTACCAGCTGTTACAGTGCTGAACAGCTGACAGTAGTATACTGACTCAAATACTCTCTCTCTCTCACACACACGCATACAGACACTCACTCACTCACTCTCCTCTGCCTCCGCCCTCCCTCCAGCCTTCACCTCCCCCGCCTCTTCCTGAGTGCACAAACAAAACAAAGAAATCTCTCAGCCTCTCTGAGGGCGTCCTCTCCTCCCATCCCTGCAAATGAGATTTCATTGCTGGCTTCCTGGGTCTGAAAAACAACATGCTGTCTCCTACTTTTCACCCCTCAGTTTGCCTGTGCAACTCTTACGTATTTTCTGCTTTAAAATAACCCTGATCTGTGTGTGGTTTTTCTCTCAGGTCAAAATTCACTTTCTTCTATTCACTGCACTAGCCATTCTCTTATCAAATAAGGTTTCCCCCTCCCCCTTTGCTTTTTTTGGGTTGAAGATGATAATTAACCCTTCACAAAACAACCCTTATGGCACAAATTACCACCCAGCAAATGTAGGGCTTTGGCAGGGAGGGGGGAGATGACACAACAAACATTAGACGGAGCAGCTTGTTCCAGACACAACATCTGCAGAACGAGTCCATTTTTCAGGACCTCTAATCTCATAATTCATTGTTTGTGTGGTGTTGGTTACAGTAGCTGAAAGGGGAAATAACAGCAGGTCAATTTGGCACAGAGTTGCTTTTGAATTTGAATTGAGTGACTTGCCCACCTTCTGATGACCGGTTGAAATGCTGCCAAAAACCCTGAAAAATAAGGAGGAACCTTGTTTTAAAAAATGTGTAATATCTTAAAATATTATCCTGCTAAAAATATCTGTTTTTAATACGTCTTTTAACTTGTGTTTTTAACAAACCTTGCACATGTCCTGTTAATTATTTTTGCAGTTTGTTTACTTTTGTCCCTGTCATGAAAATAGCTCATTAGCCAGCTTTGATTTTGTTTCCAGTCACATTCGCTTATCTGGCTCTCATGCACTAGCCGGATGCTCAACATTTCAGTTGCAAATGTTACAATAGAAAGAGGTTTTAGTTAAACCTTCACCCTCCCCCCACACACATTTTCTCTAAAAATTAAAAAAAAAAAAAAAGCATGAAAATTATTTTAGCAGGGCCACTTATTACATTTTTATTCTAAATGCAGAGCCCAGCTTGGGAGCCTTAGTGAGGGAGTGTCCATCAAGGTTTGCAGGAGCCACAGCACATCTGCTCTTTGAAGAAAGAGAATGAGCATGAGCAAAGTAGATTTTTCTTTTGCATCCCATTTGTGTGTGTTTATAAATGTCCTCATGAGAGAGTGCCTCTGTGTGTGCGTCTGTGTGGTGAATAGAGAGAGAGTGAGTCTGTCTGTGTGGGGGGATGCCCTTCCTTCTCTGCACACCATCTCCTCTTCCACCTCCTCCCCTCAGCATTTGACCTTGAGTTCATGCTCTCCTCCCTCTCCGCCCTTTCTGCAGCTGGCAACAAATGAAGACTAGTACAGCCAGGGGTCCTAACAATCCCCCCTCTACTCTCGTTCTCCATTTTGTGGCCCACAGCATCCCACCTTGATCCCTTTAACCCTCACCATTCCGGAAGGCAGGGACCAGGCATTCTCTGGTGAAGAGGGCAGACAGGTGGCTTCCCCTGAGTGCACTGTTAATGCCGTTCCCTTGAATGGCAGGCATGGAGTCTTTTCCCCTCCCCCAACCCTATGTAGTGAGAGGTCATTATCCTCCCCCTTCCCAGGAAGCACTCTATCTTTCAATGTGCCCGAGCTCCACCAGCCTAGAGCAAGAGGCAGTCATGTCTGCTCCTGAACCCTGGTCTCGTGTGTTACAGTGCACAATGCTGCTGCTAAACTAAACAACCCTAATCTGTTTGTCTTTTGAACCAGTGTATTATGGAACAATAGCCAGCCTTGTGCTCTTCGAGACTGTGTGTCCCTGTCCTTGCAGCTGGTGCTTCTACCAGTACTAAGCTCCAGTGAACAAGATCAGCTGAAACCCTCATTCTCCTTCATCCCCCTTCAAGGGCTTGCCTATCCACTGGGGCCACTATCAGTTACATGAAACATTTGGTTTCCAATGGCGTGTTTGTGCTGGAAGGCACAGGTCTATTTGAGCAGCCGGCAGTGATCCTAGGCAGAAAAAGCATGCCCTGTGTTAGTTTACAACAGTTTCACCCACACAGAAAAGTACAATGGAGACAGATCATGCACAATGACAGGCTGCCGGCGGCTCCAGGGGATCCATAATTTATGATGTTTTTCTTACCAATCTGGTTTTGGATTTCACAAGCAAGCCAGTTTCCTTCCCATTTGTTGCTTCCTTCCGCCCCCTATTTCAAGAAAGTAAACTCTAAGCTGAAAATGAACAAGAGCAGCGACAACTGCTAAAATCACCGTGCACTATATTTATATAGGGCCCAAGGGGGATCCCAAAACCTAACATCTGCATATTTATTGAAAAGAAACACAAATGATTCACCACCCCTCTGTGAGTGCGCTTCCTGATGAGCAGTAGCAGCAGCCTTAGTGAAATTGTCCTGAACTGCATTCAGGTTCATCGGGTCATCTGGGAAAAAGCGGGGATGCTAGAATGTTAGCAATTATATTTATATAGGGCCCAAGGGGGATCCCAAAACCTAACATCTGCATATTTATTGAAAAGAAACACAAATGATTCACCACCCCTCTGTGAGTGCGCTTCCTGATGAGCAGTAGCAGCAGCCTTAGTGAAATTGTCCTGAACTGCATTCAGGTTCATCGGGTCATCTGGGAAAAAGCGGGGATGCTAGAATGTTAGCAATTAGCCTGAAAGCTTTTAAGAATGGTTCTTGCTCAAAATTCAAAACTTAATCTTCTCCCTCATTGGTAATCAGTCACACTCTGGCCATGTATAGATACCCCAGCTAGCCAGAGACAATCAGATACTACTGCTGTGACAAGTGTGGATTACATTACTTAGCTTCAGATCCAAATTTCCCAGCTTCGTCTATTTCTGTAATGGAGTCAAAGAACCCTAGGCTTTGAGAACATTCTGATCCAGGTCAGTATGTCTCAGCTTAGGCCTGTTGCTGGGTGGTTCTGTTTCTTGTACTTTAAAAAACAAACAAACAAACGGCTGCATGTTTCAGGTATTGCCGTGCTCAACTCTGTTGCCTGTTGTAGTGCACAGAAGTCTGTCACAAAAAGATCTGGAAGGCGATGGAGGAGAGACCTGCCTCAAATGGGTTTGTAAAATTCCAATCAGTTCCAATCACATCACTGGCCCTTGCTGGAGGGGGCACTGTGAGTGAGCTGGTTTCAGTTCCAGTGGAAGGTAATGAAGAGACAGGCCAAGCTTCCTCAGATACTCTAGGGATGGGGCGTGAGCTCACAGACAGACACTGCCTCATGCAGATGGCTGGGTTATCAATGTGGTTTACAAATGACCAAGTAAGGTTAAAACCACAGTCACTGTGGTTACAGACGACTGCGATTAGTCACACCGTAAGTGATCCAATTATGGCAACCCCCTACCCCATTTCATCTGTTTAAAAGGGAAGCCCAGGCTTCCATTAACTTGATTTCAGGAAGATTTTGTGTGGTAAAAACAGCTGTGGCCTGAAGTTTGCAAGAGGGAGGAAAAAGATGTTTTGTTGAGGTTTCATTTTCTAAAACTGCATCAGCTTAATGTTTGCTGCTTTTGAAAATGGAGTGTATCTCTGAGGGTGGGGGAGTGTTATGGAGTTCTAATATCACTGAAATGGCAAGTGTTTGATGCTCCTGAGTTGAGCTTTTGAAAGAGAAGCTGAAAACAAGTCTCTTACTGTGTGATTCCTTAGATAACATAATGCCTCCACAGGGCAAAAGGGGCACAACTTCTGGAGGAACTGGAATTTCTCTTGGAATCATTAGCTTTGTGTTTGTGTTTATGGCAGATTGTAACACACAGCTCTTGGCAAGATGGAGGATGATGTAAGGGAAAGCACAGTATTAGCAGGCTGAGGATCTAATGAGTGAAATCTAAATAAATGGTCTGATTTTTTTCAGAGGTACTGAGCACCTGCCCCTCCTAATAATGTCAATGGGTTAGAGTTTAGCTAGTGTAAATTGGCATCGCTCTATTCAGTGTGTAGCCTTGCAAGTTAATTTAATCATGCCTCAGTTTACCCACACTTAAAATTGGTACAGTTCTTCTTCCCGCCAAAGGGTGGTATGCAATTTGATTGCCTAAAGGAATTCCCTCAACTTGAAGTGCAGTCCTGTTAAAAAGGGAGTTAAAAATAATTTGAGACCTGCACCTGAGGCCCCTTTCCAATTATTTTGCTTTCATAAACACATTTTCCTATTTAAAAATGTTAAATGAAAGATCCCCACCATAAAAAGGGGAAATACAGTGACTAATTCATTATAGAGGAGAGACAATGAGTGGTGCCAAATGCACCAAGGAAATACACTCAGGCAAGGCGAGGTGAAAGGAGACTGAAGAGCCTTTTTTTTTTCCTGATCTCTTTCAGTGTGAATACCTTTAGGGGCTACCCCTAGAATATTCTCAGAGTGGGATTTTGCCTTTTTTAATTGACTGTGTTTCTTTAATGAATGATGGCAAGACTGTTTCTCTGCCTGCATGCGAGTGCAGGGGCACAAGTGGATGGGATAAGCCTCTCCTGTTATGACTCTGTTTGGGCTTCCCAAACCTGAACAGGACATGCAGAGGCCGCGCACCTCCTCCTGTCCCCCAGAGCAGGTAAGTGGGGGATGGTGGAGAGTTGGCTCTCCTCTGACAGCCAGCAATGAGAGTGTGTAGAAGGGGATAGCAATTTGCTACTGATATAGGCCCTTGGTATCTAATTACCCAGCCTGAAGCAGAGGAGGAGCAGGGTTTCATTGTTCCTTCCTTGGGTTACTCCTGGATAGCGCAGCAATTCGCTGTCCCATATCATAACCTTGCCACATAACCAAGCTAGCCTTTAATATTTTAAAATCATATAGCCTTTGATAAAACACGCTATGGGTATATGTACGCTACAGAACAAGGTTGAATTAAGCTATGCAACTTCAACTACAGTAATTGCATAGCTGAAGTCGAAGTAGTGTAACTCAGCTTTTGGCGCTGTCCACACTGCAGAAAGTGGAAGAAGGAACACTCTTCCTTCGACTTCCCTTACTCCTTGTGAAAGCAGGGTTACCGGCATCAACTGGAGCACCCCGCACACTTTGAATTAGCTGTCTTCACTAGATCGCTAATTTGAACCCTGGACGATCGACAGCGGCAGCTTTGATCTTCCTCTGCAGTGTAGGCGTATCCTTTAGAAGCACACCATATTATTTCTTTTTTTAAGCAGTGAAGATATGCCCGGGGTTATAAAAGATGAAAAACAATTCCAAGGTGCCTAATCATCCTCCTTTGCAAGTGACCTTCCCCACTACAATAGATGTGGCCCAGCCCTATTCAAATATAGGTAGCACACCAATGCCCATGAATCGGACTGGGGTGCTTTGGTTTTACAATCCATTCATGTGAAGTAAGCAAAAGGGATTTTCAGTGGTCCATGGTGAAGGGCTGCCCAGAACACTATGTTCACTGCCCAACATGCATCATTCACAGGAACCATTGGAAACATTTGTGTCTGGCCTTTGCTCCTGCTTTCTCCTCCTCTCAGCTCTACCGCACATACCAGATTCTGTCTACACTTGCACTTGTTTGACACAGCTTTTGTCATTCACTGTTGCTTAACCCCCTCCTCCTGTGAAGGCAGTACATGTGTGAATAATGCCTTGGCAGTGCATGTGTGAATAATGTTTTGCAGGAGTGCGCTCCTGCTGACAGTGAAATCCACTTCTTGGTGATGAAAGTATTTTTTCCCTAAAAGAGCCAACAAAAAGCATTCACATGCACCGATTTTTAGCAATAGGACTGTGTCCACCCAGCCTTGTCATTAAAAGCTGCATAGTTCAGACATACCCTCAGGTAAAGCATGAGGATCTGGAAACAGCGCTCTCCATGTGCATCATTAGCAATATATTCACTAATGATGGACCTCTGGTCTGACCAAGTATGGCCATTCTTGTGTTCTTAGCTCCTTTTTCCACAAATCTTAGCCCTACACCAAAGCCTCTTTCTTAAAGAGCAACTCAGCCCTCTGATGATGCTAGGAATGCTAGGAATTAAGAAAGGGATAGAAAATAAGACACAGAATATCTTACTGCCCCTGTATAAAACTATGGTTCGTCCACATCTTGAATACTGTGTACAGATGTGGTCTCCTCACCTCAAAAAAGATATTTTGGCCTTGGAAAGGGTTCAGAAAAGGGCAACTAAAATGATTAGGGGTTTGGAACGGGTCCCATATGAAGAGAGGTTAAAGCGACTAGGACTTTTCAGTTTAGAAAAGAGGAGACTGAGGGGGGATATGATAGAGGTATATAAAATCATAAGTGGTGTGGAGAGGGCGGATAAAGAAAAGTTATTTATTAGTTCCCATAATAGAAGAACTAGAGGACACCAAATGAAATTAATGGGTAGCAGGTTTAAAACTAATAAAAGAAAGTTCTTCTTCACACAGCATGTAGTCAACCTGTGGAACTCCTTGCCAGAGGAGGCTGTGAAGGCTAGGACTATAATAGAGTTTAAAGAGAAGCTAGATAATTTCATGGAGGTTAGGTCCATAAAAGGCTATTAGCCAGGGGATAAAATGGTGTCCTT